TAGTCGAGACTGACCTGGAACTCACTATGTAGCCCAGGCTAGTCTCGAACTCACAGCGATCCTCCTGCCTCAGCCTCCCAAGTGCTGGGATTACAGGCATGTGCCACCACATCTGGCCTGTCTCTTATTCAATATAACTAAATTAAAAATGATGGTTGTACCATTTAATAGAACACATCAGCAAAACACTGACCTCTGAGTAATCCCGTAGATGCCAGTGTCGTTAGGATATACTATAGAAAGCTGACTTCATTAATGCCTCCCTTGTGGCTGTCACTCTTGTGCAGAAAAAGAAGCCTTGGGGTCTATACCATCCTCCATCGATAAAATTTTAATCTGGTCAACTGGCACTACCAGTAAACTTAGTCAAGGTTATAAAATACATACAGAGAATTTATTAGACTTGGTATTCTAGAGGCACTGGTCACTAGTTTTCACCAGTCTGCAATGAGATGAGAAAAATAAGGCCTATCATTTTCATACAGCTGATTTACTCCCTTAACTGCACTGACTTTTTAGCCTCACACATTGCCACACACCTGGAATCCCAGCACTAAAAAGGCCGAGTTAGAAGGAGCACCATGAATTTGAGGCCAACCTGGGCTCTACTGTGAATTCAAGGCCAGCCTCAACTATACAGTGAGACCCTATCTCAAAAAAAAAAATAAATAAATAAATAAAAGAAAAAATTAAAAAATTTAAGATGTGACAGTAAATGGCAGTTGTTTTCTGATTTATTTTATAGTATGATGACATTAAAAACTGCAATCCTGTTGGTTCCTAAAATTATTCTGAAAATCTGGACTGATCCACCAAAGTCCAAAAGACGACTGATGTCATTTAACCTCTTATTCATTCATTTGACAAATATTTTGAGGGGCTATTGTGTGCTAAGGGCACAATAAGAAAAAGGCAGCTATCTGTACCCTCTTGCTTACAGTGAGAAAGGGACTTGGTCATTGTAGCATAGTTTCTAACAAGTTCAATAGCACTAGGTCTCCTGAGAGCAGGTCTGGGAGAGACTCTGTCTAGGGAACCGATCTCCTACTGAAAGAAAGGAAGCCCAGCTGTCTTAAGAAATGCAGAGGCGTGTGCCTGCCCATGAAGGAAGAAAAGGGAAACCAGGGAAGACTGTTTAGTCCTGGGAATTTTAAGTAGTTTGTAGATAGCTAAAGTATGGGTGCCCTGTTGTATTAGTCAGCCTTCCCATAGCTGGACAAAATATCCATGACTAAAGGACAGGTTTAATTTGGCTCATGGTTTCAGGGGGTCCAGTCCACGGCCAGCTGGCTCTAAGGTGGAAGTTCCATGGCAGAAGACCAGGCAGAGCAGATGCTTAGTTCACTGCTACTGAGAAGCTCAGCAGGGCACAGTGTCAGAAAGGAACTGGCAATGGATCAGTTATGGACCCCAAAGTCACACCTCCATGACCCCCAGAAGTGTGCTTTACTAACCCCCTAGGTCAGTGAGGGTGAACTCACAGAACATGTTATTAAAGCTCTAAAAGGTTCACTATCATTGCCCTAGATCGATCCCCAAACCATCAAGTTGACTTTAACTGTCGTAGCTTTGGGATTTAAAATGTGGTGAAGGAGCTGGGGGAAAAGCTCAATGGCAGACCACTTGCCTCCCATGAGAAGCCCTGGGGTTCTACAAGAAAAAATGTAAAATAAATTAATAAATAAATAAAAAGGGGTGATGGAAGGAAGTAGGCCAGCTAAGAATTTTTTTTTCTTTGCCTAGCATGTTCTAGGCAGACTCTCTATCACTGAGTGACATCTCCAGCCCTGACTTTTTTATTTATTGTAAGGTCACTTAAAACATGTAAAAATTCCCAATGCTCTGGGAGGTTGAGCTAGAAAGATCACAAGTTTGAATCCAGCCTGGTGACTTTGCCAGATCCTGTATCAAAATAAAAGGTTGGTTGGGGAGAGCGCAAAAGGCCTTGGGTTCAACCCCCAGTAGTACTGAAAAAAAAAAAATTTCCAAATTCAAACCTAGCTTGGAACAGTTTCCAAGATCCTCTTGCCTCAGCCTTCTAGAGCGCTGGGATTACAGGTGTGCAGCACCAGGCTGGCTGGGTGCAAAGTGATCGAAGTGGGGCTTTTGGTCATTTTCAGAATAAAGTATTTTAATTTACCAGAGCATGTCTACCCCACAACTATAGTTTTCACAGCAAATATACTTTTGCAAAGAAAGTTGCTTATTTTTTTCTGTACTATAAGGTTTATAATTTTTTTAAAAAGGTTTAAAAATTTAGCTTGTTGGGGAATTGGTGACTAGACGTTGTTTTCTACCTTGGTCACAGGTTTCACGTCGCCCACGCTGGGCTTGAACTCACAATCCTCCTGCCTAGGCCTCTGGAGGGCTGGGAGTACAGAGTTCAGGTTGAAACGAAGCTGAGTGGCGTCTCCTTCTTCAGAAATTTACTTCCCCCGTCAGAGTAAGAGAAACCAGTTAAGTGTGCACCGATGGCGGCCTGCTCGTCTCCGGAGCGGCGCGGCGCGGCCTCCGGACACGCGAGGGAGCTGTCGCAGCTGCCTTCGGAGCAGCGTCTGTTGTCGCGATATTCTTCAGACCGGAAGGGCGAAAGGTGAAAGGTCACATTGACGGCGCGCCCCGCCCCGTACGCCTAAGTTCTCGCGTGAGTTGTACTTCCGCCCTTTTGGCTCTCTGAGCAGCACCATGGCGGTGGGCAAGAACAAGCGCCTTACGAAAGGCGGCAAAAAGGGAGCCAAGAAGAAAGTGTAAGTGTCGATTGCCATAGTTTCCTGCTCTTTGGGGTCCTACGGGGGTCAGCGGGTGGGTTCTCGATGGCGGCGTGCGCCGGACGGCTAGGATGCAATTGGATTCCTCGGGCAGAGAATGGTCGGGACACCCTGTGCCGCGGTGGCCTGGCTCGCGGGTACTTCGTATCGCCGGTCGGTTGCCTTTCCTCTGCATTCTTGGGCCCGCGGCGTGTGAGGCTTGTGGCCGCCCCGATTCGGGGCTGGCGTGCGCCGTGTTGTGGGCTCTCGGGTCGCGTAAACTTAGGCTTTTTGATGCCACTCGTAAGAGCCGGAGTCTAGGGAGTCACTGTCCTTGCTCGCTCAGGACCCCGTAGCCCGCCTTTTGTGGGCCCTGAGTGCCTCCTTGACAGGCTCTCAGGAGGTCACTGAGGGTGTTACCAGTTCCTGTCTTCGGACTCCGGTAAAGTTCACAAGACGTGCAGAGTACTTGAGGACAGAGAAAAGTCTATAATTTCAGAGGATCGGGTCAGGACTGAGAGGAGATCTGCGGCCTTTGCCTTACTATGAAAGAAGCAACACCTGCTGCACTAAGTTGCCAGTTAGTAGCGTTTAATGTTAACGGTGTTGCAATAAGAAATCGCAGCAGTACTTTATTTGCAATGAAAACTGAAGCACTTGTTTTGAAATCCAGGGTTGATCCATTTTCTAAGAAGGACTGGTATGATGTGAAGGCACCGGCTATGTTCAACATAAGAAATATTGGGAAAACACTAGTCACCAGAACTCAAGGAACCAGTGAGTATCTTTGGTCTGTATTTTTCTTGTTGGGGCATGTGGGTGTTGTGAGCATCTGGATCAACTATTGGTCCTGTGGTGGAAGACTGGACTTTGCAGCTCTCCCTTGCAAATTGGGTATCTGGTGTGCTTGTTCTTCATACACATGCGATGCTTTTAGAACTTAAGAAAATGTGGGATTTTGAACATAATGGATTCTGCCAACGAGGCATTACTGTCTAATGAATTTGACAGAAGTTAAGGTCTTTAGAATTTGAAATTAACATCATTTTAACTTAAGTTGATTTGCCTGACTTGAAAGCTTGTCTGTGTTTATGTGTTTCCTGTTCACAAGGCATGATTATTGTTTTGTAGAAATTGCATCTGATGGGCTCAAAGGTCGTGTGTTTGAAGTGAGCCTTGCTGATCTGCAGAACGACGAAGTTGCCTTTAGAAAATTCAAGCTAATTACTGAGGATGTTCAGGGCAAAAACTGCCTGACTAACTTCCATGGTATGGATCTCACCCGTGACAAAATGTGTTCCATGGTCAAAAAATGGCAGGTGAGACCGAAAGTTCTCTTCGAGTGCTTAGTGTTTGGGTTGTGTGTGACCAAAGATGGCATGGTGTGGGAGGAACCTATGCTGGAGTAGAGGTTTGAATTTTAAGAACTTGATCTCTTGGTGTCACACGAATACTCTGGGTTTGGCCCTCCTGAGTTTATGCTTCATTGAATGACCAGCAGCACCCTAATTTACATACATGTTTAAAATTGAAGCCAAGATTTTTACTGGGTTGTTACAACAGGGTGTTTTGGGCCTGTTACCAACAGGTAGGTGAACCAAGAGTTTTGCCTGTCTTTAGAATATCTTGGGATCTGGGCTAACCTATTACCTGTGGTAAGAGAGCATAATAGTGGCAAAGCCTGGGTTGAAATCATGGCATTTTGGGCAAGTCACGTAAGCTTGCTAGGACTTCGTCTCTTTATCTGTAAAATGGAAATTATTTATTATGAGGATGAAATAAGTGCATACGAACATGATTAGCATGGTGCTTGATGCAAAGCACGCAGTAAACAGTATCATTTTGGAAAATAAGTACATTGATTCTGATGTATCTCTGTAATCACCTCTTGGTGGTATTTTGCGTAGGAATGAATGATGACAAAATGGTTTGGTCCCAGAGGATATAAACTGATTATATCATTACATTTATTCCTGACATTCCTCTAAGATTTTATGGTTGCGTTTTTGGAAGTGTTTGGCTGTAATTGCAGTGAGATGTATTTTTTCTTTTTATGGTGCTGAGGATAGGATATGTTTTCTGTATTGTTTTGTTTTTAAGATATGGTCTTACTGTGTGTGTAGTTCAGCCATTCCTTGAACTTTTCACAGTTTTCCTGCCACAGCCTCCCAGGTGCTGGGGTTACAGACCTCTGCCAGCACACTTGGCTGGATTGTATCTCTGTAATCACCTCTTGGTGGTATTTTGTGTAGGAATGAATGATGACAAAATGTTTCGGTCCCAGAGGATATAAACTGATTATATCATTACATTTATTCCTCACATTCCTCTAAGATTTTATGGTTGCGTTCTTGGAAGTGTTTGGCTGTAATTGCAGTGATATGTATTTTTTCTTTTTATGGTGCTGAGGATAGGATATGTTTTCTGTATTGTTTTTTTTTTTTTAAGATATGGTCTTACTGTGTGTGTAGTTCAGCCATTCCTTGAACTTTTCAGTTTTCCTGCCACAGCCTCCCAGGTGCTGGGGTTACAGACCTCTGCCAGCACACTTGGCTGGTACATTCATTTTTAAAACTGAGGGAGGGCTGGGGATTTAGCTCAGTGGTTCCACTGCCTGCCTGGCAAGCACAAGGACCTGAGTTTGATCCCCGGTACCCCCCCCCAAAAAAAAACCCTGAGGGATTTAGTTTGCAAAATGTAAGGAAGACAACTCTTGTTTTTAGCCTTAAGATGGCTTTGTTTAAATTGAAGCAACACATTAATTATGGATTTTAATTATATTTTAGCTGTGAAATTAAATGTTGAATCCTTAGCATACCCTCAGTGTAGAAATACTTGTAAAGGAGTTTTTAAAAGTATATGTTTGATGTTAACAGCAGTATTTGAGTTGTTCAGAGTCCTTTTTTTTTTTTTTCCTCTCGGTACTGGGGATTGAACTCAGGCCCTTGAGCTAGCAAGGCAGGTGGCAGAACCACGGAGCCAAATCCCCGGCCCCCTGGAGTAATTTTATTGATGAAGTCGAAAGTGTAGGTGTTCATGGGGTAGAGTCCTGTGATCCAGCCTTAGAACCTATTTTCTTTTACCTTGCCTGGTTCTTCTGGTGAGAAGTGGCTAGTACAGCTTATGTGTGCTGTATATGGAAAGGTGTGGGTACAGTTGAGAGGACTTGGTGTTTCTATGTTGAGTTTTAGGGGTAGTGAGAATTGGGGTTTAATGTCTCTTGGTAGATTCAATGTAGTTAATTCTGTAAACTAGGTACTGTATAAGAAGTATTGATATTAGGCTAGGCATGGTGGTGAGTGCTTATTCTATCACTGTGCTGCTAGTTTGAGGCCATCCTGGACGACATAATAGGACTGTGTCTAAACAGGTGTGCTTGTGCTTGCCTGTAATCCTAGCCCATGGGAGGCTGAGGCAGGAGGATCATTGGGAGTTTGAGGCCAGTGACCCTGACTCCAAAAAAATCCCCTAAATAAATAATAGGGCTGTGTCAAAAAATAGTTTGTAACATTAAAATCTGTTATATGTGACAGTGTCTCTTTCTGTCCAGACTATGATTGAAGCCCATGTTGATGTCAAGACCACCGATGGTTATTTGCTTCGTTTGTTCTGTGTTGGTTTTACTAAAAAACGGAACAATCAGATACGGAAGACCTCTTATGCTCAGCACCAACAGGTCCGCCAAATCCGGAAGAAGATGATGGAGATCATGACGCGAGAGGTGCAGACAAATGACTTGAAGGAAGTGGTCAATAAATTGTGAGTGTTCTTCCTTGTACAACACAACCGCAAATGGCTAATGATCCCTGGGATGAGTGAAGGCATCTGAGACAAGGTGGAATCGGACCCCTTTTTAAATCTTCTATGAATCCCAATTAAAAATTCCTTTAAATGTGATTTTTTTTTTAAATAAAGTTTCCAGAGCAGATTGTGTGGCTTGAAGGACGGGATGTTTTGGCTTTAGTCAAAACTTCCCATAGTGATTGATGGGAATAAGTGATGAAAAAATGTTTCGGTCCCAGTTGATGTCCACTGATAACTGTTACATTTTTCTGATATTCCCATGCAGTCTTCTGATAGCTAAGAGGGTGTAATAGAAAAGGTATAATAAGGCTAGGACTCCAGAAGACTTGGATACTAATTTTGTTAGTAGGTACTTGTATAAGTCTGTTCTTCACCTATAAAAGGGACAATAGTAAAGCTTAATGAGGATTTCTGGGGGTTAAATGAAGTGTGAAGTGTGTAGATGTATTCTAAGGCTTTCCTTCGAAGGGAAATTGCTTGATGGGTGTCATAGTGCAGGCCTGTGATCCCAAATACTTAGGTGGAGGCAGGAAGATCACATAAAGGGCTAGAGATGTAGCTCTGTGTTGCCTGTTCAATCCCCAGTACCCACCTAAAAAAGGAATGCTATATCTCATGTGTAAGAACCAGAACATTGTTCTTGATTTTTAAACTCACTTAACCATCACTGTGGTTTGCAGGATTCCAGACAGCATTGGGAAAGACATAGAAAAGGCTTGCCAGTCCATTTATCCTCTTCATGATGTCTTTGTCAGAAAAGTAAAAATGCTAAAGAAGCCCAAGTTTGAATGTAAGTGACATAAAATTCCTGAAAGAAAAAATGATGGTACCAAATATAGACTTTTAAGGACAAATAATGGCTTTTTTTCCATTCTGTCCCTTGTATTGAAGGTCATTGTTTCAAGGTGTAATATAACGATATTTTTCCCCCTTTCAGTGGGAAAACTGATGGAGCTTCATGGTGAAGGTAGTAGCTCTGGGAAAGCTACTGGAGATGAGACTGGAGCTAAAGTTGAACGAGCTGATGGATATGAACCACCAGTCCAAGAGTCTGTGTAAAATCCATATGTTTAATAGTGATAAATAAAATGCTATTTGTGATGGCTTGCTTCTGAAGAACATTCCTTTTAAGTCTAATAGTGTGGTGAATTGGATAACTAATTTGAACAGTGAGTTTGGGTAGGTGGTAAACAGTTTTGAGCTTTTTGGTTTGTGTTTTTGGTTTGGGGAATCACACTCAGGACCTTGCACTTGCCGGGCATGGGTGATACCACTGAGCTTTTTGGTTTGTTTTGAGACAGTTTAGGTGAGAAAGCACAGATTTTCTTTACTTAATCATCTGTGTGCTCTGTCACATAGTTTAGGCTGCTCATGAGTTCATGTTGCACCTCTTGCCTCAGCCTCCCAGGTGTTGGGATTACAGGGTTTTTGAGCTTTTTATAGATTTATGCAATACATTGTTGAAAATGTACTGCACCATTTTAAGCTGTAGTGATCTGGAATCATTACATAAAGGATAAAGGTATACTTGGTACTTTTTTAAAGTGTAGGAATAATTGATAGCTTCTGAGGGAGAAGGGGGTGGAACTTAACCTTTTTGGAGCATGGTGCTGGGTCTTGGTGCAGCGGAGGACAGACGTCAAGTAGCTATAAGTACTTTTAAGTTTTGTGTGTGTGTGAGTGCCTTAAGGTTTTTGATGGATCTTAAACCATTTGGAAGTCTTGTTAAAAGTTGGGCTCAACCCTCAGATTTTTATTCCACAGTTCCAAGGCTGTGATGGTAAGCCTTTCAGCAATGAATGCTCAAATGGCAGCCTACATAATTATTGCGCAACGCCAGCACTGCAATCAAATATGCTGAGGTTTCCATTTAGAAAAAATAACTCATACATTAACATCTTTTGGAAGAAAAATAACACAAGTGCTATAGATTTGCCACCACTGTTCTGGGGAACAGGCTGAAAACTGGCATTTTTCACAAGTTTTTAGGAAATGATAAATGGCCCAGGGAAACACTGCATCAGACTGAAAAAAATGAAAACTACAATTTTTAATAAAACACCCAAATATGTTTGCCTCAACAACAAAATGCTCAGATAACTGGGCCTAAGTGTATTACTAGGCACCTGCATTAAGACCTGAATTTGGTTAAAGAAAACTAGTCCATAAACTAACATTGTGAGTGTTTTTTGGGTTTTTTTTTTTTGCTGCCCATTACCCAGTATGTCCCCCACCCCAATCAGCCGTTCTGTTTCATGCCTTATTTCAGGTCTTCAGTTTTCTCATTTTTTAAAGTAAACTTTATTTTACCCCTCCTTGTGTACAAAAGCTTTGTTTCTGTTTTCCTTCTTATTTTCACTTTTTTTCTTGTCCCTTTTTCCCTCCCTCCCTCGTTCCCCTTCCCATGTGAACAGTTGCTTCCCATTTCCCAACATCCATTACACATTTCAGTCTCTATTCCACTTTTGCTTTCTCACACCAGAGAAAAAAATGTATTTAAACATGTCCGACTTATTTCAGTTAGTATAGACTCAAGGTCCATCCATTTAGCTAGAAATGTTTGAAGTTCATCCTTTATGTCAGAGTAGTACTCTTGTATTAAAAATATATTCACTCAGCTGATGGGCATTTTGGCTATTTCCAAGATTTAGCAATTACAAACTGCTGCTATAAATGTGGGTGTGCCTATATCACTGGGGTACTTTGCTTTTAATTCTTTCAGGAAGATACCAAAAAGGCATAATTAAAACTTAGTTTTAATTCTTTGGTTTTCTTTTTTTAATGTTTTGGTACCAGAGATTGAACTCAGGACTTTGGACTTGTGAAGCAGGCAGCAGAACAACTGAGCTAAATCCTCAGCCCAAGTTTTAGTTCTTTGAGGAGTCTCTGATTTCCACAGTGGTTGTGCCCGTCTGCACTCCCACCAGCAGTGGAGATGGGTTCCTTCCCCACAGCCCCTCCAACATTTATTGGTTGATTTCTTGATAACAGCCATTCTGGAGTGAGGTAGAATTTCAGTATTTAAATTTGCATTTCACAAATGACCAGTGATGCTGAACACTTTCATGTATTTGCAGTTTCTAATCCATCTGATAAGTTTATTTCAGATGCCCATTTTCCCAGTGAAGACTGAAAATTTAATAGTTCAGTAGTGTAGCTGGATACAGTCAACATTAAAGCAGCATCCCTTTACACAAACTCACAGAGAAATTAGGTGAACATCCTTCACAACAGCATCTAAAATGAAATACCTGGGAATCGGTGCAGTGAAATAAATGACCTTTACATGGGAAACTTACAGAACTCTGAAAAAGAAATTGAAGAGGATATAAGAAAATGGAAAGGCTGGGAATTTAGCTCAATGGTTCTGCCACTTGCAAGTGCAAGGTCCTGAGTTCGATCCCTGGTATCAAAACAAAGAAAATGGAGAGATCCTTAGTTCTTGGGTAGGAACCAATATAGTGAAAATGGTCATATTTCCAAAATTGTTACACAGATTTAATGCAATCCTGACCAAAATAC